TATATATATATAGTTATATTATAAATGATGAAGTTATGTATCATATATTAACAAAAATATGACATAATATACTAATACATAGGCTACTAATAAAATAAGTCTAGACTTCATTATACAGACTGGTTTATTACATTTAATTTGATGATACCTGCACGAACCCTGGTCTATGGTGGGGATAGGGGGAAGGTTCTGCCCACACACCCCCACAGAGCTTCGGACCGGCCCTGTCCACGGGACATTCAGACGGGATTAAATCAGTGTTGCCTACCAGCAGGAGTTGCCTGCTCCAACCACTGGATGCTGCGCTTATTCGCGCCCAGCAGCCTGTCTCCTCCAGACACAGCCGCGCTTCCATCTGCCAGCCACAGCGTCGCATTCAGGCTGTTTCCCACCAGATTTCGCCCCGTGTACCGGCCTGTCGGTGAGACGCTGGGCCGCTGACGGGCTGCGGGACAGAATGGGGATCGACAGCCTGCCTGCCCGGGCTTCTCTAGCCTCAGTGCGGTAGCTAGCGAACAGACTTGTGTCTGACCAGGGCCCTCGGGTTACTTAGACATGCTGAAGGATTTCACGAACAACAAACGTGGGCTCTCCCTCGTCTTGACCGGAACAATGCGAAAAGAAGACTATGAGCAGGAGCAGTTTCACAGGGCGTCTGCTGGTAGTTCACTGATGCTGCTACAAGACGGAGCCGCCTGCGGTCTGTGAGCTGGACTGGACTCAGTGAGCCTGAGAGGACAGGGATGAATCCATATTCTGTGCTGTCTCTGGGGCTGGGGATCTACTGGCACGAGCTTGTGTGGAAAACACGGAGACATGACATGCACAAGAAAAAAGAGGAAACGCAGCTGAGCTTTTATTAAAGCCTTTGTCTTTTGAAGGAGTCCGCAACAAGCTTCCGTCTCCCGTCCACAGAGACCTGGACACAGTCGGATGCTGCTCTCTCTGAATCACCACTTGTTTCCGGTTATTCATTTTTCTGTGGAACAGAGACTGCAACGGCCGGCCTGCCCGCCTCAGTCTGGAGGACAAGCAGCCCACCGCAGGTGAGCAGCACAACACGACTACCATTTTGTATTTCCTACAGAGCGTCACGCTGACTGCTCTGCATCCCTGCATCAGTCCATCCCCATATAGTGAGCCTGTGTCCGGCAGCCTCCTGCAGGCCCGGACATCAGGGTCCGGAGCCTGTTGTCTGCCTCAGCCTCTGATCATGTCATGAGGGGCCGCATTATGCAGAGCAGTGTCCCGGTATGTGATGCAACACAGCAGCGTCAGTGGTCAGTGTGACTCTGTGTGATTCTGTGTGACTCTGTGTGACTCTGTGTGTTGGTGAGAGATAGTGCAGGTTTCCAGCAGCTCCGGGGCCTGTTCAGCTGCCCAGTGATTTATTATCATGAGGTGTGATGTTCCCTGTATAGAGCATAGCGCCACCTGCTGAAGGACTACAGGTTGTATGGTGCGTGATTTAAACTGGACTGCAGCAGCTGGTGGCTCTCCAGTCCTCATCAGACCTGTATGCTCCATGTGAGGAGGCCTGACTCTGGGCCCCACTGTCAGAGAGTGACTCTGTCTATGTCTCATCCAGTGAGCTTTGTTGCCTCCTCCCACCAACATAGAGCCAGAGGTATTGGGCTGCTGTTGCTACCCAGTTCCTGACAGTGACTCTGCCCTCCACCGCCAACCAACTTTCAGCTTCACAAAGCCCCTCCTTCAAGACACACAGCCTTTCAGCTCCCCTCAGCTCCTTACAGCTCCTCACCGCTCCTAGCCTGTGGAGCTCCACAAATGACCTGATCAAAACAGCTCAATGACTGACACAGTAGATTTGATCTGTGTTCTTCATCACACTCATCATCCAGTGTTTTCACTCATCCAGTAAAGCAGCAGAGTGATTTCCTACATGACATTTCCTCGTCACAAACAGCTGATATGACAATGTACCAACCAGTGTCAACATAATGATTCGTTAAATGATTCATTAATTCATTGTCCTTCTTCAAAATCATCAACAGTCACCCTGGTTTACCTTCATGTCTTTTTATCTGTCAGCCTGTGGTCTGAAACAGAGACTGTGCAGACTTTCCTCTGGTTCATCATCTAGACAGAGTGTGTTAGTCTGTTATTACCTGTCATTTTCATCTTTAATGATGATGAGTGAATAGCATTTCATTTTCAGATCTAATTGACATGGACAGAAGTGACAGAAACACAGCGGCCTTCAAGCCTAAAAAAGCAAATACAAATGATGTAATTTTACAGAATTAGACCATTACGATTAAAATATGAACAAACTATTCACAATAAATGAAAATGAATCAACTGACCTGCTGCAGCCTGTGAACTCAGACCTCTCTACTGGCCTGCATGGACTCAGACTGGGTGCTCACATTGGCAGTTTGCTGCAGAGGTGATTGTCATCAGGTTTTGTGTTTTTGCCTCAGTCAACTTCTCATGGCTGCACCTGAGACCAGATGATGGTTATTGATGGTGTTGCATGTGAATTACTTAACGTTATGGTAGATCGGGCTCATTGTTTTGTCAATATTACGGACAGCCTTCAGATTTTTTTCCATCATTGTCAAAAGATTCAGTAAATGACCTGTGTGTTAACATGCTAACATTTGCTAATTAGTGACATCAATCAGTGACTTTGGTTTGTTAAAACACAAATGTCTGTAACTACGAGAACATGTTTCTGTAGTTTGGGTGAACTGACCCTTTAAAGTGTTAGTTGGGGTTATTTGATGTGGGGTTTGTGAGGTGCTGATCTATAGTCAGTGTGTTACCTGCAGCAGATTCAGATCAGCATGCTGCCAGTTCAGAGAAACAGCAGGAGCACTGGTACAGAAGCAGAGCAGTGTGCTGCTGTGGGAGGGGCGAGCAGAAAACACCTTTTAAGGTTTTAAGTTTGCCCTTTTTAGTTCGGTTAAAACAAACCCTGGTTGGTTTTCCCCCTCAGTACGATTAGTTTGTGCAGGTGTGAAAACAGTGATCATACTCGGGTGTGGACCAGAACAATCGCACCAAGACCCTTTCGAGGACGTGGTCTTGGTCCGATCCCAAACAAACTGAACTGGATCTGACCCCACTAGCAAGTGAACTCACAAGTTTGAGCTCAATGGATCCTGTAACCTTCTACCTGTGTTTACTTTCCTGCTCCAGACAATCTGACCAATAAGAGAAGGAAGGTTCTCACCCGGTTTGTAATGAAGCATTTTGGTTCACTTAAATTTTTCTCTGTTTACAAACTCCAATATCTCCAATATCTGTTTCATGTAGGATATTTTCCCCTCTTTATCTTCCTGTCAAAACGAAGCTCTCTCTGATTCACTCAGCTGACCTGTGGCTGAGGCGGTTGAGAAAATGTAGTACCAAAGAAAAGTGCTGCTGTGATGGGAAGACAAAGAGCTGAAAATATTCTACATAAAGTTACATTTAATTGGATTGGATTGGATTTTTTTGGTGGGTGTCTTTAAAAGTGTCTAAAACAGGTTTTTCTGCTGGCCCCGCCCACAGCAGCTCATCGCTCTGATAGTGTTCCTGCTGCCTCTCCTAACTGAATCTACTGCAGGTAACACACTGACTATACATGACTAACTCACACAACCCCATGACAAATAACTACAACTATCACTTTAAGGTTGAACCACCATCTTTAATTCCTGCTACCCACCTGAGTTCATCAGTATCCTCCAAACAATACACTGGAGTTCTATCCACTAACCAATGTTTGGCTTGTTTAAAGATTAGGAGATGACTGTGGTGCCGTCAACAGAGAACAACAGTTACATTTTAATGGAGATGTGTCTGTTAGACATGAGTTAGTGAGAAGCAACAGATAACTAAGTTAACCTGCTTCATGTCATCTTAAGGCATGGACGGGATCATGGTGTTAAAGAAATCTCAATGATAGATTTCAGGTTCTCAACTGAGACAGGGACACAACACCAGAGGTCAGACAGCTGGGCTGAGACACATGGAGACAGCTGGTGGTCTCCTAAAAAAGAAAAGAATTAACACACCTCTGTTTTAACTCTCCAACTCAAAGTCACTTATGTGTGTTACCATGGTTATAGGAGTATCTTGCATAAATACACATGCAAGCACTGTCTAGAGAACACCTGTCCCCCTGCTCATTCATGCAGTTATCCAATCACCCAATCATGTGGAAGCAGTGAATAAAACGCTGCAGATCCAGGTGAGGAGCTTCAGGTAACGTTCACATCAAACGTCAGAATGAGGAGAAATGTGACTCGGTGACTTTGACTGTGACATGATTGTTGGTGTCAGACGCTGGTTTGAGTGTTTCTCAAACTGCTGATTTCCTGACGTATATGAACCACACTACGACAACAGAAGACCACGTCAGGTTCCACTTCCTGTCACCAAGACCAGAAACCTGAAGCTGCAGCAGACACAGACCCACGAACACTGGATAGTTGAAGGCAGCAGATGGTAGGGTCAGAGTCTGAATGCATGGAGCCAACCTGTCCAGGCTGGTGGTGGAGTCGTGATGGTGTGGGGAATGTTTTCTTCTTAATAACAATCAATCATGGTCTGAATGTCACAGTCTATCTGAGTATTGTTGCTGATTATGTTCATCCTTTCAAGGACACAGTTCACCATCTTCTAATGGCTCCTTCCAGCAGGATAATGCTCCATGTCTCAAACTGGTTTCATCAACATGACAGTGAATTCAGTGAACTTCAGGTAGTATGTATGTAGTAGTACATGTGTACTACCTGGATGCAGGGGTCCCTCCAAACTCATGATTCTTTGTTTTTTCTGGTTAGTTTCAGGCTCCTGGAGAGGATCAGGAGGTGAGACCTCTAATACACCAATAAAGGGACCCTGCTCGACATGGGGCAATGTGGATTAAGGTGTTCCTATTCCTTGTGAACTGCAAAAGAGGAAGCAACCACGAGGACGAAGGAACAACCAGCAGACGGAGGAGGTGGTGGGGGAGTGGTGGCTTTGGTGCTTGAAGAAACGGTGGTATGGGTGGGGGGGCATTCAGGATGGCGAATGGAAACGAGAGCAGCGAAGGGCCTGCTGGGCCGATGGCAGCAGTGGCAGCTACAGCAGGAGACATGGTAGCAGAGAGTCCATCCTCAGCCGTCTCTACCTACATCAAACTGGTACTGCTGGGGCTGATCATCTGCATCAGCCTCGTGGGTAACCTGGTGGTGTCTCTGCTCGTACTGCGGGATCGCGCCCTGCACAAGGCACCTTATTACTTCCTGCTGGACTTGTGCCTGGCAGACACCATCCGTTCAGCCATCTGCTTCCCCTTTGTGCTGGTTTCTATAAAGAACGGCTCAGCCTGGACCTACAGTGTGCTGAGCTGCAAGGTGGTGGCCTTCATGGCAGTGCTCTTCTGCTTCCATGCCGCCTTCATGCTGTTCTGCATCAGCGTGACACGCTACATGGCCATTGCGCACCACCGCTTTTACTCAAAGCGCATGACATTCTGGACATGTGTGGCAGTGGTGTGCATGGTGTGGACGCTGTCTGTGGCCATGGCTTTCCCACCTGTTTTTGACGTGGGCACCTACAAGTTCATTCGTGAAGAGGACCAGTGCATCTTTGAGCATCGCTACTTCAAGGCCAATGACACGCTGGGCTTCATGTTAATGCTGGCTGTGCTCATTTTAGCCACACACGTGGTCTACATGAAGTTACTCCTCTTTGAATACAAGCACCGCAAAATGAAGCCGGTCCAGATGGTGCCGGCCATCAGTCAGAACTGGACCTTCCATGGCCCAGGGGCCACTGGTCAAGCGGCAGCCAACTGGATTGCAGGCTTTGGCAGGGGCCCGATGCCCCCCACTTTGCTGGGAATCCGGCAGAACTTGCACAACCAGAACCGGCGCCTGTTAGGCATGGAGGAGTTCAAGGCAGAGAAGCAGCTCGGCAGGATGTTCTATGTGATCACTCTGCTGTTCCTGGTGCTCTGGTCTCCCTACATAGTGGCTTGCTATTGGAGGGTGTTTGTCAAGGCTTGCACAATACCACACCGGTACCTCTCCACCACCGTGTGGATGAGTTTCGCTCAAGCCGGGGTCAACCCCATTGTCTGTTTCTTCCTTAACAAAGACTTGAAGAAAGGGCTCCTTTCCAATCTACCAGCCTGCTGCAGGACTAAACCTCATCTGCCACGAGAGCCTTACTGCGTCATGTAAGCAGAGAAGATGATGTAAACCAAGGGCCAATCAACTGATGTGTTGTGGGAGTGTTTTCTTGAGTTATTGTGGTATTTGATTCTACACAAGCTACTTTCAAGCAATGGGTGTAAACTAGTGAGTGTCATGGTAAAAACACTGGAGTGGTAAGCATGTATCTCCATCTACCAACCCATTTTCACTCAGAACTACAGAATATGTGGAATCAGACTTTTGATAACCAGAATACTATATTAGCAGAACATGCAAATAATAATGCTCATTGTGGAAACCAAGCCAGACAAACAACCACCAACAAATTACATAAGCTGCTTCATAAAGAATGTCAAAGTGGATTGATAAGGATGTCGTCATGGTGATGTAGAGAATCCTAAAGAGGCTGGATTAGTTAGATAATGTTGTTTGTGTGGCGACAGAGGAGAGACGAGGAAAGGAGGTAGAGAAATGCAACAAAGATTCCCAGAGTTGAACTTGAGACACTGCCGTTCATGGTGTGCATCTTAACCCCTCACAAACCTGTTTTATTGGTCCTTAATTTTTCAGCTCTTGACACCATCATTTGATTCCAAGGATCCGTGACCTTAACTTTTTAACATTGAATCCATAGACACTCTGTTTGTGTTATTCACCCACATAGACACAAAGAATCAAGTTTTTACTATCAGTTCTCTTAACAATTTTACAGTCAGTAGTCAGGTGAAATTACAAAAGACATTATGTCATATGAGGCTTTAAAATCAAATCATAGAAGCTGGGAGAAGTCAGGTTTGTGAGAACCATGCTGGGGTCCTTCTACTCAGGGACCAGGGAGATGGTTTAACCTGATCCAACATGATGTGACTGTTTGTTTTGTTTGAAGTGAACACATCAGGGACAGGAAAATTTTCATGTGTATGATGTATTTTCTTTGTTGACCAGTTATCCATGTCTACTGTCTCAGACTGCGTCCACACTGCTATGTTTTCATTTTAAAATTTCCTACGTTTTCTCTTCCGTCCACACAACTCCAGAGTTTTCAAGCACTGAAAACGAAGACATTTGGAAACACTGATGTTTTTTTTTGAAAACTCTGGTGTTGTGTTTTATTTTGAAAACTCTAGGGTTGTGTTAGAAAACTGATCTTTGGAAACGATGGCGCCTCCTGATTGGCTCTCATCAGCCTCAACTACCAGTGGTGAACACAACATGATAATGAATTACAGTGTTACTGACCTTGTTGTCTTTCCTAGCAGCTGTTGTTCACTTACATTCTCTATTTTAATGCTACAGCTGTCTTCGCTGTTCCTCCTTCAGAGGATTCACCGTAACTAACCAAGTGCAAAATAGTCAATGTACTTCCTGTTTACACCGGCTCGCACTTGCTCAGTGTAGGTGAATGGTCATGATACGGAGCTAAAATGGTCGATTTGGTCTTAAAACTGCTTTTTCAAATGATAGTGTCATGGTGTGGACGCAGTTTCAGTGTGTCACTCATTGATGCTTCAGCTGACAGCAGAAATACTGTAACTGTGTGAGACCTGATCAGCTCAGTTCATAGTGAGCAGCAGCTTGTTACAGTGACAGTGTGAGTCTGAACACAGGTGCATGAGATGTTTAATTTTCCTCACCTGCCTGTTGGAGCTGCGGCAGCTGCAGAAAGTCACAGATGGAGAATGTTGGAAATCACTTCTCATTGGCTGCTGAGTGAACTTTATTTACTTTATGCTGTTTCTAATGTCCAAATGCATTGTGCATCATGTAATTCCCTCAAACTGATGATCCCAGAGCAGAGTTTTGTTAAATATCCAGTAAGTCAGTACCCTGAATGTCCAGCAGAGGCAGCATTTGCTGGACAATTTACTAGTGAATGTCCAAAAGACCTTTAGAGCCCACTGTGAGAACAGGAGAAAGACTGTTGATACTCACTGTTCAGCAGGCTGCACCCAGGTATCAATGCCACGAACATATAGCTGCAGTGTGTCTGTTACCACATGTTCATATTCCTGTAATTAACACAAACATTGGCAAAGCAGTTCAGCAGGAGGGTCACAGTGACTGAGCCTCATTGTTCCTTCAGAGATCATCAACAGTTTTGTACTTTTCAGAGTCACATGTCAGATAGTCTGAAACACTTTATAACACATTATAACCTGCACTGGAAAACATGGTGTTAACAGCTGAAGTGTCCAGTGGTTGTTCCTGGTAGTTTTATCTACTGAACCTGCACTGTGTCAGTGTTCATCAGAACTTCAGCTCATTAGTCTGAAGCTGGACTGTGACTGGGCCTCCAGTCTCTAAACATCACTTCCTGCCTGAAATCTCACTCCACACGGAGAATCAAGTGTTCATATGTATGACTGAGTGAATGAAGCAGTGATTTCCAACAGTCCAGTTCCTATTTCTGTGGTTGGACGTGTCAGAGGAGAAACATCATGTTTGATCAATCAGCCATAGTAAAACAGAGAAAAAAAAGAGAGGTGTGACAGACATGACAGAGCTGCAGGACTTCCTGTTTTAGTCTTCTGTTTGACTTCTGTCTGTGCCAGTGACACAAGCCTGAAGCAGTTTGTTGTCAATAAACCTGACTGAACATGATCTGTCCAGGATTCTTTCTGAAGGACAAACCAGGAGGTAAAGGTGTAAAACTCAAGGGAAGTCATGTTAGATCAGACAGTTTGTCTCAGCCACAGTCTCAGTGGAGATATGAAGTGAGACTCTGTCCCCCAGCTTCAGCTTCAAGACCCTCCTCGTCCTCAGTCCAGTTATTGATCCTGCTGTTACTTCACCTGTTCACAGCAGACACCTGCGCATGTCTGTCCATTTCAAATTCACCAGGTTTTGTCACACTGATTCCAAATTCAGTCAAAATCATGACATCTATCCGAACCTGAATGAATCATGAGGACAGAGAGGTGAGGTAAACAGGAGAACCCGAGCAGGCAGAAGGGTAGTCAGTGTCGCAAAGTGAACCTGGGTGGAGTTAGATTTAAATCATCATGTGAAGGGACATGTTTTGCTTCCTGTTCAAACAAATCTACAGACATGATGATACACTGAGCTCCTGTCTGCTCTCTCTGAACATGATCTGTGGATGGAGGTGGAGGTGAAGGTGAGGGTGAAGATGGAAGTGAAGGTGGAGATGGAGGTGAAGGTGGAGATGAAGGTGGAGGTGAGGGTGAAGGTGGAGGTGATGGTGATGGTGGACGGGGAGGTGAAGATTGATTTTGTCAGTGAATGTCTGAAAACAGGATCCGGAGTGTGAGGGGCCCCTGTGTCTTTGGCCCCCAGCAGCAGCAGCGGAGCCACTCATGTTATTTTTATTTCCTGAATTATGGCCTTACTCCATAAGAACATCCAACCAATGCACCAGAGCAGAGACAGGAGTCTCTGCTGAAGGACAACACTGTGTAGAGACGAGTCTCTGCTCCATCAGCAGCTGCAGGACTGAGGACGTGATGGCAGACGAGAACGACAGTCACAGTGAGTCTGAGGACGAGAGTGGAGCCGCTCTGGATCTGTGTTTTTCTCTGACATCATCAGAGACACGTTGTCCATAGCTGAGGAGCTTTTTCAGTTTCACATGATCTTTTGTAAATTGACTGTGACCTCTGTATTTAGTGTGTATTATACTGACAGCAAACTAACTTTGAAATGCAACAAAGAGTTCCTGATCATTGTATTTCTACTGTGACTCTGTTCGTGTGTGTGTGTGTGTGTGTGTGCGCGCGCGTGCGTGCGTGCGTGCGTGTGTGTGTGTGTGTCAGTTACAGAGGGAAAGTCCTGAACAGATACATCACCCCTGTTTCCTCAGTGTTTCTGTCTCTGATACCAAGAGCTGAATGTTTTCAACCAATGACGTTTACTAGAAGTCCCTTTTTAAACAACATGATAGATTATTATTATTATTATTGTTATTAATTGGAGGATTTTTGTACATATTTAGGGACAATGAAGGTAAAAGAGCTTGAGATAACGGAGAGCCATCACTGACATCAAACTACAAAGTTCATGCAGCTGACAGCTTCAATCAGCAGGACATCACATGGTTCAGTCTGGGTCGTCTCCACTATAACAACAACACTGTCCTGAGACCTATGACCTCAGTGACATCACAGTGTGAGGGTCAGGTGAGCAGTCAGGTCTGTTGTAAACATCGACCTGTGACCCAGCTGACCACAGTTTAATGACTCTGACCTCCACATCCAGTGGTTCAGATAAATGCTGAATCATCTGCTCGTTTCCTCTCACACTTTGTCGTTGTCGTTTTCTAAAACATGAACATAAACATGATTGTTCAAATTACAAAGAAATTAATTATAATTGGCTAGGATTATCCTTTCATTTCTCTTTCTGTCTCAGAGTAAAGCTACAGTCAGACCAGAGGTCAGAGTGAAGCATCAGTCAGACCAGAGGTGACCTGTCTCGACAGTTTCAGCTCGGTGTTGTGTCACAGTGGATGAAGGAGCCCACACAGTCTAACCCTGAGAATCACTTGTGCTTAAGATTTTAAAAAGCATCATTATTTTGAAGCTTTGTGAGGAAGCGCTCTCCATGCTGGACTAGAAATTGTTCAAAGACAAAAAGTGGTTCTTGATTCCATTAGAAGGAAACAGAGGTCAGTGAAGTGTCTGTTGGAGGCTGCAGCAGTAAATGAACCAGACACAAGTTAGACATGGATCAGCTGTGTCACAGTGCGTCTTCAGATGACAGTGTTTCATTGAACCTTCTAGTAGTAAATATCTCAGTTCGGTGCTTCCTGAGGTCAGAGGTCAAGCAGGTTTGAAGGATGAGAGAGGAACTCTCCACTTTCCCTCCGCTCCGTGTTCTGTTCAAACGTGGTCGAGCTGTTACGCATGTATCTGCCAATTCATGATTTCTGTTGTGGGTTTTGCAATGAAAATAAATTTCCTTTGAAATGATCAGAAGATTATTATGATTGTGGCAGGATCTCCCAGAATTCCTCGGTGGTGGTGTCGCAGATAACATGTATAATAGAATGATGATGATGATGATACAAATTAAATAATAACAAATTAGATGCTGTATACAAAAGTAGGGCATTCTCCAAAATGCATCTGTATGATGAGGTTTGTGTCGACCCGGGAGAATTTAATTTTAATATAAAAACTTACATTTAATTCACTCAATGAAAAAAAATAATAATAAAAAAAAAAAAAATATATATATATATACACTGTACAACAATGTCTACAACTGTACAGGCAGCATCAATACAACCTGTGTGTTGATGGTGTGATGTTTTTTTCTTCGTCTTATGATGGTGCAATAATTTTTACATGAGTTCCATCTCTGGTACTGACCACAGCGGTCAGACCAACCATGAAGCTGCTTTATTTCCCTGTAGCTGTTGAACATCTAAAGTAATTGGTATGAATTGTCCTATGATGTCGGGTCAGAGACATTTATTGACAGCGGCCCTTTATGATTCTTTGTGATTTGGTCTTAGTGAGTTAGGAGTCCTCTCCATTACTAAGCTACTACTAAAATAAGGAGTCCTAAAGTTAGGACAGCCATTATTTTTTAGCAGTTTCTCCTAAAACTTTGTGAATAGCAAACATTAAAAATCTTAACTTGTTGATCATGCAGTGTTTGAAAATGGTTAGCGACACCTTACAGACAAACATGGGGCCTGCATGGAGAGTAACCTTTTTCCATGCAGGAAATATGTTTGTTGACTGGGGAGTGTTTTTCACAGTCATGGGTTTGACACTGATTTAACACATTTAGACTGAAGCCTCATTTTAGCCTCAACTCAACTGTTAGAAGAAGGATTTCTTTACAGCCAGTATAAAGAAGGGAGAGATCACAGACACCAAAGTCCTTCACTTCACATATGAGTAAACCTGAATCTCTCCTTAAACTTCTTCAACCTCACTAAATGGTTCCTAGAATCAGACAGCATAGAATTCCTTCTATGCTGTCTGATTGGTTCCTAACATCAGACAGCATAGAATTTCTTCTATGCTGTCTGATTCTAGGAACCATTTAGTGAGCCTCCTTTGACCCAGACACCAGCCATCTGCCTTATTTACCTTTCAGTGACACCAACCACCTGTGTCTCTTCACCTGGAGCTCATGAAGTCCTGATCCTCCACAAATCCACTTAATCCAATGCAATCCCTGTCACACAAGGTGAGGGAGACAAACTCATGGGGAGATGTTCTTATTGAGAAC